GAGTTTAGGGATGGAGGAACGAAAAATCGAAGGCTTCCCGGAGGAGGTGGCCGTGACAGTAGCCCTCAGACAGCCCACTGGACAGGCCCCGGCTCTCCGTGTGTCTCGTGCAGGTTTACAGGCGCTACGGTGAGGAGTACGGCAGCCTCGCCCGCCCAGACATCACCTTCACCTACTTCCAGCCCGAGCGTCGGCCGGCCTGGGCGTGGGCTCCCGTGCGGGGGGCCTGCTCGGTGAGCTGTGGGGCAGGTGAGGCCCGGGGCAGGGCTCGCCTGAAAGCCTGATTTGCTCCCCGCACGGAGGTGGTCTAGCCCCCCTCTCCCCCCCGCAGGGCTGCGCTGGGTGACCCACAGCTGTCGGGACCAGGCAGCAAACGAGTGGGTGGAGGCTGCCCGGTGTGCAGGGAGCCAGCAGCCGGCGGCGTGGTCCGAGTCGTGTGCCTCCATGCCCTGTCCTCCGTTGTGAGTGTGCCTGGGGCTCAGGCGCTCACCACTCCAAGGGGGTGACCACCCCACCTGGGAGGCTCAGGGAGGGGCCCACCCCCTGGCAGGAGCACAGGGCTAGGGACAGAGCTGTCCCTGTTGGGGGCAGGGCTGGGGCAGTTGCCCACCGGCACTTTTAGACAGTGGTCCCCAGGCTCAGGTGCAGCTTGGGGACACCTGGAGAGGTGGAGGGCTGGGCTGCCTGTACCTGCGCGGTGTCCGGGTACCTGAAGGGACAGTGGGCCCAGGCCAGGCCCGGGAAGTGACTCGCCTAGACAGACCTGCCAGCCTCCCGCCCCTGCCCCTGAGCCAGCCTGGGGACCCGGCCAGGGGCCCGATGCTCTGTTCCTCTCCTCAGCTGGGCGGCCGGAGACTTCAGCCCATGCAGTGCCTCCTGCGGAGGGGGCCTGCGGGAGCGGGTGGTGCGCTGCGTGGAGGCCCAGGGCGGCCTCCTGAGGACGGTGCCCCACTCCTGGTGCAGAGTGCTGGCCCAGCAGCCAGCAGCCATGGAGACCTGCAATTCCCAGCCCTGCCCCCGGAGGTGAGCACAGATCCAGGCAGAGTCTCCCTGGCAGGGCTTATCCCTGTGCTGAGCCCTGCCCCTTCTGAGTGTCCCCTTTTCCTGAGGCCTCTGGCCAGGTCCCACCACCCTGGGTGAGTGCCGACCTTGGAATTACCTCCTATCCCGGAGGCCCTGGACTGGCCATTTCCGCCTCTGAACTTCCAAGTCTCTGCTCACGGAGGGCTGCGAGGATCAAGCAAAACCACGATGTAAAGCAAACAATGTCACTTTGTCACTGCTATTGTCATTTCCACAGTGTCCCAGCTGATAGAGACTTATCATTCTGATTTGCCACTAACTGCCTGGGTGACCCGGGCAAGTCCCCTCCCTCTCTGGGCCCCAGTTTTGTCCAGTGGGGAGGGAGGTGGCCTAGGTCACTGGTGGTCCACATGTGGCTCTGGGCGTCTTCCCCGACACGCCCCGCATCCGTGGCAGACGTAGCAGTCACCCCTCTTTCCTCCTGGGGGCCAATCGTGCCTCAGAATCCTTCTCAACACAACACTCCAAGCAGCCGCCACCTCACAGGGCTGCCATAGGAGACGCATTTGCTGTCCCTGAACTGGTGATCGACTGCATCTGGCACCTGTTTCCCAGCACCTGCTAGGTTGTCTGGTTGGAGGCCCACCTTTGCCTCTGGAAGGCGGGAGGGTCAGGGCCGGTGTCATTGCACCCTGGGTGCTGAGTGGAGGGCCAGCAGCCTTTCATCCAGGCTTCAGGGAAAGGCCCCTGGCTTCTGCCTTTTGGCGGGGATCCCCCTTTGGGCTCTTGGGTATGGGGGAGCAGGTTCACTGCCTCTCTGCCCCAGGAGCAGAGGCAGAGCCTAATGGCTGTCTTGTGCCGTCCTCAGGGAGATGCCAGATGCGTGCTCGTCGGCCTGTGGAACAGATCCGGCCGTGCAGAACACGACGTGTGTGCAGGGGGCAGATGGCATGGGGGCGCCAGCAACTGCTGGGCCCTGCTCCACAGACGAGAAGCCGCCTGCCCTTGAGCCCTGTATCGAGGTGGCATGTCCTCCGGGCTGGAGCCAGGTGAGTATCCTGGGCACTGGAGAATGGAGAGCACTGGTTACCACTGGCCTCCTGCCAGAGCTAGAAGACTGCCCTGTATAGGGCTGCTGTCCTCGGGAGGCCCTGGGCAGAGGACAACCCTAGAAACAGATCTCAGCGCTGCTGGGCAGGCCCCTTCCCGCTAGCAAGCAGGCTGAGCAATCCAGACCCTGGTGGAATGCTGTCAGTTGTCTGCGGCACAGAGAGATGCTGCCACGCTCCTGCCTGCGTCCACGGGCTCAGGCTGGGTGATGTTACTTTTGGACAAGGGTGTTGGCCAATCCTATCCCTGTGCCCCGCCCCCGGCTGGTGGGGACTGCAGGGCCAAGCGTGCCTGCAAATCTGGCTCCAGAGCCCCAGCGTGGTTGTGCCCCACACTGACTACTGATGCTGACACAGAGGCCAAGGTGGGGTGTGTGGTGAGGGCATCCCCTGGAGGCCAGGAAGCAGACTTCCCGGGAAAGGAGCAGCGGGGAGGGGAGGCCTTTGGGGTGCTGGTAACCACTTCTGTTCTCTCCTGAAGAGATTGGGGTAGGTGGGAGTGGAGGGCCAGGTGCCCAGAGGTGTGGAGATGGGAAGCCCAGACCCACCAGCTTGTTGCTTGCCCTCTGCAGCCAGATGCCCAGTCTCCAGGGGAGAAGGCTGCATCCCCAGCGGGCAGTGCCAGGCCAGAGGCTCATGCTACACACGTGTGGACTCCCTTGGCAGGGCCGTGCTCTGTCTCCTGTGGTCAAGGTGAGGACCCCAACGCCACTGAGGGTCAGCTAATTCTAAAAACAGCATTTGAGGTGGCTTACAAAAACTCCAGCTACACAAGAACATGACATTATAAGCAAGGAGATTGGGGCCAAGTACGGACAGCCACATGAATGTGCTCACCGACGGGCTGGAAGGCAGGAAATGATGATAAAACCTGGCCATATTGGCACCCAAGAGCGTATTCTTAAGGTCTAAGATGGGCCCCAAACATAGCTCTGAGCTTCCTGGAGGCCAACCCAGAGAAACAAAATTAATTTTAAGATACACAGTGTTTTAAACTAAAACCCTGGGAATTCCCTGGCGGTCCAGGGGTTAGGACTCAGTGCTTTCACTGCCATGGCCTGGATTCAATCCCTGGTCAGGGAACTAAAATCCCACAAGCTGTGCGGCATAAATAAATAAATAAATAAATAAATAAGCAAACGAAACCCCTAATCACTTGCTCAGGTAAACTCCAGCATGTTTAGAATTGAGGCCAGAGATTTCTTTTGTGGATACTTTTGCAGAGATGCACGACACGGTCCTAATAACATCTTGGTGATAAACACAGTAAGAGATTTTCATATGGCAACTGTTATAATGCCCCTCAAGTTATAAGAGCAGTTACCACTTTTGAGCACCTACTATGCACCAGGTACTGCATAGCTCCCTTTGAAAAATCTTTATAAATAGCCCTCCAAGTCAGGCACCATTAGATGAGAAACCTGAGGCTCAGAGAGGTTAAGTCACTTGTCCAAGGCCACACAGCTGCTAAGTGGCAGAGCCGAGACTCAGATCCATGTGGGCCTCGTCTGCTAGAGCTCTTCAGAGAGTGGGGCACCCATGGTCCTTGCTGAGCCTCCCTCTTGGGGCTCGGGGTCCCTTCTTCCTCCCAGCAGGCCTGATGGAGCTGCGTTTCGTGTGCATGGACTCTGCCCTCAGGACACCCGTCCGGGAAGAGCTGTGTGACCTGGCAAGCAAGCCTGGGAGCCAGCAGGAGGTCTGCCAGGTTGCCCCGTGCCCGGCTTGGTGAGTCCGGGGGAGGGAGACTATGCAGAGGGGCAGCAGTCTGGGTCCCCCAGGGAGGAAGGAGTCTTACCCTGGCTGTGGCTTCCTACGGAGCACTCACCTTTCCTTCCTACAGGTGGGAGACCCAAGCCTTGGCACCGTGCCCCGTGACCTGTGGAGGGGGGCAGGTGCCGCTGGCTGTTCGCTGTGTGAGGATGGACCAAGGCCGCTTTGTCTCCCTGCCTCATTCCAAGTGCTGGCCGATGCCCCGGCCCAGGCCCCTCGAGGACTGCAGCCTGGAGCCCTGCCCTGCCAGGTGGGCCCCTTCCCAAGGAGGCAGGTGGTCCTAGGCGGGCATTCTTGGAGGTGGCATCATCACCTCCCGTTAAGCTCGTGACCCTTGGCGTCCTCACCTGCAGGAGTGGATTGTATTGGTGCCTGGAAGACTGTGGGGCTTTTAAAGTGTGTGATGTGCATCACACAGGGTCTGGGACGCTGAGGGCGCATGTGGTTGATGGGTCATTTTGTCATCACTCGCTCTTTACTGAGCACCTACTAAGTATGTCCAAGTGCTGTTCTGGCACAAGGGGACACAGCAGTGAACAAGACAGACAGGCATCCCTGCCCTCCTGGAGTAGATGCTGGGGGCAAGGGAGAGACAGATGGTAAATAAGATTGATGGGGGAGACTTACAGTTCACGCTGGATGGTGTTGGTGCGACGCGGCAAACAGTGGGAAGGAAGGTTGGGAGTGCTGGCAGGGGCGGGGTCCAGGTGGCGGTGGGGCTAGGACTCCCACTGGAGACAGACATCTCGGCAGGGCCCCTTGGGTGCCCTGCCCCTCCCCCCACTGCTTTTTGGACACGGCCACCCTCAGCTTCCCCTTCTTTTTTTAAAAAAAATTTATTTATTTATTTATTTATTTTTGGCTGCGTTGGGTCTTCGTGGCTGCATGCGGGCTTTCTCTAGCTGCGACGTCAGCTTCCCCTTCTGTAAAATGGGGTCTTCTGAATATTCTCTGTCCACTGCGCTGAGCCTCTCAGTGGAGAAGTAAAAGTGGCCCCCAGAGGGAGAGCCTTTCCAGGCCCTTTCTAGTCTGAGGAAGTGAGGGGAAGCCCCCCACTCCTCGGGGTCCCCCCTGACTCCGGTTTGCCCCAGGTGGCGGTACCAGCTGGCGGCCTGCAGCGTGACCTGTGGGGGAGGAGTTGCGCAGAGGATCCTGTACTGCGCCCGGGCCCACGGGGAGGACAAGGCCGAGGAGATCCTGCCGGACACCCAGTGCCAGGGGCTGCCTCGCCCAGAGCAGCAGGAGGCCTGCAGCCCAGAGCCCTGCCCGCCCAGGTCAGCAGCCCCAGGGTGTGCAGTAGGCAGCCTGAACTCCTGGCCTGTGCCGACACCAGGCCAGGCCCGTGGGGGTTAAAGGGCAGCTCGGTGGCACAGGAAACAGGACCACCCGGCAGGCTGCACTCGGTGTCAGAGGAGACACTCTCGCAAACTCAGGCAGTGCTGTCGGTTCTAATGGGGGTGACGGGGTGGGGAGGGCAGGGGCGCTTCCCAGTGGAAGAGGCAGCATCTGAGTGGAGCCTGAGGGTGGTCCAGCTGGGGCACAGCACCGCCAAAGCCACAGGGACAGACAGCTCACACCAGTAGGGTCTGGGGACAGGCTGGAGCCCGAGAGGGAAGGGCAAGTATTCACCTGCCTTGTTCACGGTTCTCCCGTGGTTTCTTCTTTGTAATTTTGCATTTTAAATAATGCCGTGCTCTTCTGTATCATACAGAAACATCCAGAAAAGAATGTAACAGTCACCCCTGTCCCACTACCAGATTTAATAGATGCTAGCATATCTCCATGTTTCCTTCATATGTCTCCTTGGTTTTAAAGAAATACACCACTACAGATAAGACTTTATTTACATTAAAACCTTTAACTCATCTGTGATTTACCTGGGGTCAGTCACAAAGTCGGGAAGCAAACTCTGTTTTTCCAAATCACTGACTAGCAACAGCATTTGCTGCATCCCCCCAGGTGCCCCCTGTATCACATCTTAAATTCTCGTGTGGGTTGGATCTGTGTCGAGGCTTCTACCAGGCTCTGTTGTTTTATTTCCCCCCACCTATTCCCACCCCTAAGTCAAATTGTTTTCATCGCTGTAGCTTTATGATCCATTTACCATCCATACCCGTGTCACTTGACTTCCTTGCCTATGCTTAAATGTGCACCCCATTTATTTTCCCAAATCATATTTGAAATGGTCTGGGATTTTTTAAAATGGGAATTTCACACGCACAGGAGCTCTGGTTACCCCTGGAATGTCACTGTGGCCACCCTGGCCTCCTTGATGTTCTGGAACATTCCAGACAGTGCTTCTGATTCAGGGCATTTGCACCTCCTTTCCCGCTGCCTGAATGTGTCTGCTCTGGATATCCCTTCCCAGGCTCTGCTCAGAGTGCCATAACAGAGAGGCGGGGAGTCCTTCCTGTGACTTGGTTTTTTGGGGGGGGTTTTTTGGCTGCGCCCCACGGCATGTGAGATCTTAGTTCCCCAACCAGGGCTCGAACCCGTATCCCCTACATTGGAAGTGTGCGGTCTTAACCACTGGACCGCCAGGGAAGTCCCCCCTGTGACATTCTAATTGTCACAACTCGGGGTGGCAGGGGTGGGGAGCGCTGCCACTGGCATCTAGTGGGTGGAGGCCAGGGGTACTGCTAAACGTCCTACACTGTGCAGATGGCCCCCACGAGAAAGACCCATACATTTGGGCCCCAAATGTCACGAGGCAGAGAACCGTATATGCTCCACGGTGGGCGGGGCCGGGGGGGGGTGCGACTTGGTCTGGTTCACGGCTGTATCCCAGCGACTAGAACGGCGCCAGGCCCACAGAGGCGTGTTTTTGAGAGGGGGCATCACGGGCCGGGAGGGCAGCATAGCGAGGGGACTATAGGACTCCGGGCTCCAGTGCGGCCTGCCTGGCTTCTGTCCCGGCTCTGGAAACTGTCGGTCATTATCATTTGTTGAAACCTGATGAGTTAACATGGGCGGGACTGACTGGTGCGGGGATCTATTCTCCTTCATCCTGGGCCACTGCCCCCCGTCCCTGCTACGCGGACTAGCAGGCAGCTGGGTGTCCACGGGTGTCCCGTGGTAAAGGGGAAGAAAGGGGGCACCTTGTTAAGGGAAAGGAGCTGTCTTTCCCGCAGAGCCTTTCCCTTGGCCGCCAGGAGGGGTGCAGGGGCTGCACTGCTGGATCCCAGTGGCCTTGGAACCTGTCCTGGCTGGCCATCCATGGAGCCCACCGGGGCAGTGCCATCTTCGGGGAAGCCTAGCCTCTCTCTGGGGACTTCTCTTCCTGCAGGTGGAAGGTCATGTCCCTTGGCCCATGTTCAGCCAGTTGTGGTCTCGGCACTGCCATGCGCTTGGTGGCCTGTGTGCAGCTGGACCAAGGCCAGGACACAGAGGTGGACGGGGCGGCTTGTGTAGGTCTGGTGCGGCCGCAGGCCAGCATCCCCTGCATCATCGCCGACTGCACCTACCGGTGGCACGTCAGCGCCTGGATGCAGGTAAGTGCTGCAGCTGGGGCTGGCGAGCGCACGGGCCGGGGGTCCTCACGCATGGGGACCTCTGGGGGCTTTGATTCACTGTGACCCGCTGAAAGCAGGGGGAGAGCTGGGTCTCTTGGGGAGAGGGCAGCCGGGGCACCTAGAGATGGAAGACATAGCAAGGCCTAGAGGCGTGGGGAGCGGGTAAGCCTTAGGAGGCCCCGGGGTCTGGAGACTCCAGAATATGAAGGGCTGATAACTCCCCACAGACGAGCAAATGCCGCCCCGTGCCCAGCACCTCGCAAGGCGCTGGAGAGACAAAGGCAGACAGGGCCAGGTCCCCCGCAGAGGGGCTCGCTCACGGTGCGTAGGGAGAAGACGCAAAGCAGACGGCCACCACTGCCTGAGTCGGGAGGACCCTGGGCATCTGGGTCGGGGCAGTTGATCCCTTGGACAGGGCAGTGAGGGGTGGGAGGGGAGGGTGGACCCCGGGCTGTGATGAGTGATGGAGGGCGGAAGGACGAAGCCGCGCTGCCTGCTCCCCGCTCCAGGGGCTGCAGGGCAGAGAGGCCTTGAGGGCGACGGGGAGAGACCCGGGCTTGAACCCCAGCCCCTCCTCCCCATGTGATCCTTGCAAGGTGACTTCTCTGAGGAGCGTGGACACCCATGCCCGCCTCCCGTGTTGTGCAAAGATTATATCAGATCCTGCCCGGCCTGTGGTCGCCGCTGTCCTTGTCACCCTCCAGCGGGGTCAGTCCCAACTCCTTCCTCTCTTTCCTGGCAGTGCTCTGTCTCGTGTGGGGATGGCATCCAGCGCCGGCACGACGCCTGCCTTGGACCCCAGGCCCGGGTGCCCGTGCCAGCCGACTTCTGCCAGCATTTGCCCAAGCCGGTGACGGTGCGGGGCTGCTGGGCTGGGCCCTGTGCAGGGCAGGGGACACCCAGCTCGGTGCCCCACGAGGAATCCACTGCTCCTGGCCAGACCACAGCTGCCCCTGCTTCCCCGGAGTGGCCCCAGCGCCAGGCCCACCTCCTCTCCCCAGCTCCCCGGCCGCAAGGACTCCCACCCGGGCCCCAGAAAAGCCCAGCAGAGTCCAGTTATGTTCCTTCCTCCTTTCTGTCTGGGCAGCTGACTGGCTGCAAGAGGGGTGGGCAAAGGCATGTTCACCTGGGAGAGCCAGGCCGTGCTCCTTGTGGGGACCTCCTGGGGGTGGTCCTGTGGCTGCAGCGCCCAGGACGCTGGGATGAGTGCGGTCGGGCTGAAGGGATGGGCTTGGAGGCCGGGTTCAGGGGGGCCCCTCTTCCTCACAGGTAAAGTGCAAGCTCACTTTTATTATCATCAAGGGAAAGTAACCTGAGGGTGTCACAGAGTCAGAATCCCCGCCTGTGTGACCCACTGTACACACTGCCTCCCTCTTGCTGGCACATCTGTGGTGGCTGTCTGCCTTGGGTGGCGATGCTCTGGCCCACGCAGCCCCCTCCTTGCCTGAGAAAGCTTCCGGTGGGGCCTAGGAGGACACCAGCCGCCCCAGCTCCCAGTCTCCTTCCCCAGCACGGAAAGCCCCCAGCCCTGCCCTGCTGGGGATACCCCACCTGGAAGCTCCCGCCCCCTTTCCAGGCGCCTGTGGCCGGCAGCACCTTGAGCCGACAGGAACCATTGACATGCGAGGCCCAGAGCGGGCGGACTGTGCAGTGGCCATCGGGCGGCCCCTGGGTGAGGTGGTGACCCTCCGAGTCCTCGACAGTTCCCTCAACTGCAGTGCTGGTATGTCTAGGGCCACGCGAGCAGCTAATGCCAGTGACAGGATCTGCTAGGTGCCAGTGAGTGTGACTCCAGGGTGCCCCATTCCTGGGGGGATTCTCCAGGTGCATCCCCGTGTGTAACTATCGCAGCCAGCTCATAACTGAGGTGTGGTTGGCCCCATTTCACAGATGAGGAAACTGAGGCTAGGAGAGATTATCACACGTCCAGTTCCTTAGAGTCGCATAGCTAGCAAGTGGGAGAGTCAGGACCTGAACTCAGCTCAGTCTACCCCAGGCCACTGGGCTGCCAACCTGGACTCGGGGTGCTGGACTCACCTCACTGCCACTTCCCAGGGGAGATGCTGCTGCTTTGGGGCAGGCTCACGTGGGGGAAGATGTGCAGGAAGCTGCCCGGCATGACTTTCAGCTCCAAAGCCAACACGCTGGTGGTGAGGCAGCGTCTTGTGCAGCTGCAAGGCGGAGTGCTGCTACGGTATTCGAGCCAGCCTGCCCCGGGAGCCTTCCACCGAGGTATGGCGAGGCCACGGAGCCTCCCCGCCTTCCCCAGAGGCTGGCTGGCTGGGTGCTGCTGCCAACGGGGCCAGTCCCGACGGGCCAGCGGGCAAGGCAGACAGGGAGCTGAGCTGACTGAGAATGAAAAGCAGCGCCTTCCCGGGCACCCCCCGACACCCCCATCCCTGTATGTGCGGTCAGGACGAGGTCCCGGGAGGCGCACGGTGTTCCTTCCTCTCTGGGGCCCTGAGCGAGATGGGCGGACATCCTCACTCCCTCCCTCAGGCCATCGCGGGCCCCACACCCTGGCCCCGGCACTCAGGTCCTTCAGGATCCTTTAAGGTCCCTCTGCGAGCCTCTTTCCCCAGTCCTGTTGGGTGCACTGTCCTCCTGGCTCATCCTCCGCTCAGCAGGGCGTAGGTGCTCGTGCACATCTCGTGCGGAGGATGGCGTCCCCGAGAGCCCTGCTAGCCCGTGGCCCCATCCGTATCCACGGAGAGCCGTCTAGGTTGCTTCAGGGGGCTTGCCCTCTTCCACAGCCCAAGCTTGCCGAAGGTGGCTTCCCCAGGGTTCCCCCCAGGCCGCAGGTGAGAAGTGGGACCCTGTGGGGCTTCCTCTGCCCCTCAGTGTGCAGCGCACAGGCCCAGCTCCTACCTGGTCATCACTCCTCACTTCCCAGCCTCCCCACATGCAGGCACCCGCTTTGAGGGAGGCCCAGGAGGCGCAGGCAGGAGGGGCTGTCCTGGTTGGGGCGGGTGCAGCATGAAGCACCTTTGCACGTGTGACTTTGCTGATTCCTCTTAAAGACTGCCCTGCCCAGTGTGTGCTGTCGTTCCCTTCGCCTTACGGAAGAAGGAACCGAAGTGCGGAGCGTTTAAAGCCTTCACCTAGGGTCACACAACCGGGAAGTGGTAGAGATGGGGGTTCGGTGGAGACTTCTGCCTGGGAGCCCCGATCTTGACCGCAGTGCCACACTGATCCCCCACTGCTCCCCGGCTGCCCTGCTGCCCTGGCCTCTGGCAAGAGTGGTCACTCTGGGGGACTCCTATGTTCCGGAGGCGGTCCACACCCAGTCTGTACGCCTGCTCTCCCCCTGCAGGATGTGACGTGCAGCTCTTCGGACCCCGGGGTGAAATCGTGAGTCCATCATTGAGTCCGGATGGGAGGAACATGGGGGGCTGCCGAATCTTCATCGACGTGGCTCCACAGGCCCGGATCGCCATCCGTGCCCTGGCCATGGACATGGGCACCAGAACCGAGGAAACTGATTCCAGCTACATCTTGGTGAGGCTACCAGGATGACTCTTCTGCTCTAATTCTGGACATCCATCTCTGGGGGCAGGGACTGGGGGTTGCTGGGCTATAGGACCCACTGACTTTACTTCTGATCAAAACCCTCAAAATCATTAGTGAGAGAATGGGAGAAAACTTTCCTCCACTTATTCACCAACAAGTGCTTATTGAGTTCCCTACAAGAATGAAATAGAAGAGACCTTTTCGAATGTAGACTGCCAGTTCACCCAGGACCGAAGCATGATTTTAGACCCTGATATAATTTTACCAGAAGAGTGGGCCGAGCCCTCCCCAATGAGGTTTTCATGTGTTCTGGGAGAACTGGCATCTGTAAGGTATCAGCTCCCTGGAGGAGGCAGCCTGGCCTCTGTAATCAAATTAATCTGGACTCAAATCCCAGCTCTGGCGTCCTGGCTGTGCGTCCCTGGGGAAGGAGCACAACTTCTCTGAGCCTCAGTTTCCTAGGTAGAATAATGTTGTCTTCCTGATAGGGCTGTTGTGTGAGGATTAAATGTGACCCTGGATGTATGATACCTTGTATATTAAGGGCTCGTGAATGCTAATTATCATTTGTGGTCGGTCCCTTGGGGCTGCCCCTTTCCTCCCAGATCCGGGATATCCACAGCCTGAGGACAACGACATTTCGTGGGCAACAGACGCTCTACTGGGAGTCAGAGGGCAGCCAGGCAGAGATGGAGTTTAGCCAGGGCTTCCTGGTGGCGCACACCAGCCTTCGGGGCCAGTACTGGACCCTCCAGGCTGGAGCTTATTAGCCTGACGATGCCCCGCATCTCCAAGCACATCCCTCAGTTGACCAGCGGTCACAGTGGGATGCCTCCTCCCGGTCCGGGAAGGGAAAAGAAGGAACCTGACATTTATGAGCACCCGTTAGGTGCCTGGCTTTCCAATTCGAATTCCCTCCAATCTTAAGTATCTCCTTTAGGGCTTCCTCCAACGTGCAAAACGTTAGAGGGTGGGAGGGGAGACTCTCCGGAAAAGCAGCTCCCAGCCCCTCGGGTACCAATAAACGGAACGTGAGGTCTGAGTGGCGTTTTCTTTACATAACCTGTCCAAATATGGCTTGAAAACCCACCTCCCCACACGGCAGGGATTCCCTGGCCGCGGTCGGACTCCAGATCCACACCAGATCTGAGCAACCCCCTGGCCACCCCTAGCGGTCGTCTTCCTACCCAGGGAGGAGAGGCGAGGGAGGTGGGAGTCCCGATGGGGCCTTGAGGCTGGCGCACCTGATAATTCTCATCGAAGCCCCGCCCCTATACTAGTCTGGGTGGGAATGTTTGACCGCCTGGGAGTCCTGCGGCGCCAGGACCCGCCCCCTATGCTAATAAGCGCGAGCCCTTAGGGCCCTCCTCATCCAGGTCCCTGCGGGCCCCGCCCCCTATGCTAATGAACACGGGCCCGCTCGGGCTCACCTACCCGCGGCCCCACCTCTATGCTAATGAGCGCGAGCCTCTCGGGCGCCCCTCTCCCGACCCCGAGAGCCCCGCCCCCTATGCTAATAAGCGGCCGCCTCTCCCACAAGGCAGCGCGCCGGGACGACGCGGCCGGCTCCGGAGCCCTTTGTGAGGGCTGCGGGAGCGCCGGACGGCGGCACCATGAGCGTTGCGGGCGGAACGGCTGTGGCGTCCGTGAGCTCGGCGCCGCCCGAGCAGGAGGAGGGCGTGACATGGTGGTACCGCTGGCTGTGTCGCCTGTCGGGGGTGTTAGGGGCCGTCTGTGAGTACCCGGCCTGGGGGAGGGGCCGGCACTGCCGCACGCTGCGCATGCGCGCCCGGCCCCGCGCCGCACCCCCCTCCCCCCGTGGCCTCCCCCCGTGGCCTCCCCCCGCGGCCCCCCCTCACCCCGGAAAGAGGCCGGCTTGGGGCCGTGGTGTCCGGGCCACGCGCGGCTCTGGGCCGCGGCGGAGGCGGAGGGAAGCCGGCGCTTCTGCGGTTGCTGTGGTTACCGGCCCGCGGCCTGGGCCCCTGGGTCCGGGGCTGTCGAGCAGCTCGAGGGACGTTCCAGGAGGGAACGACGCGGCCGAGACTTGCTCCTCCACGGCTCCTCTGAGCGTGAGGGCAGTGCGGCACCTACTCCGGGGGCCTTCCGAGATTGCCCATATGGCAGTGCTGAAACCCGGGCTCAGTCTGGTCCGGAGGCCGCCGCACCTGTTGACTCGGGTGTGAGTGCGGGCGGCAGGCGCCTTAACCTTTGGGGGAAGGTTGTTTATAAATGGGGCAGGTGCTGGCCAGGTTTCCTGAGGGCCAGACGGTCCCCACGGGAGGGCCAGGCCGTGAGCTGAGGGAGGCGGCCTCTCCTCTGGGTCCGCACTGTCCACCTGGAGGCAGTGCGCTTCCCCTGATGTCAGCTCTCCCTCCTGCTGTCAACTCTGCCACCACCGTCTCGCATCTCCCCTACTTCTGCTCCCCACCCCGCGTCGCGGACGCGCACACCCCGACCTCAGGTTTCCTGGAAAGCTAGGCGCTTTTAGCACAGTCCCCCAAAGAACATACGTAGGAAGGCAGATCTGCTACAGAAGTAAAATAAGGATCATATGGCAGGTCTTCCAGAGGCAAAGCAGGCCCGGACCAGGTATGTCGAAGGAGCATCTCCTTAGGCTCCCCTTCCAGTCTCCTGGTCCTCCCAGGTGGATGGAGGCTGGACGAAAGTTCCGGGGTGATAACGGGACAGGCCCTCCCTCCAGTCACAAAAAGGCCTCTGAGTCCCTGTCGTTGCTCTTCAGAGGGAACATGTTTTTGACTTTGTAGGAGAGACTGGTCAGGGCTTAGACATGATCCTCTGGAGTCTGGGTAGCTGTTTCCCTGGCAGATCAGAGTGAGGCTGCTGTGGGAGTTACAGTGATGGGGCGAGAAGGGAAGGGGCCTGAGCGTGGCCTGTGGGCTGTCACCCTCCTCCCTCCATCCTGGGGTCAGCTGCCCCGCCAACTCCCTTGTTAGCCCTGGCGTCGCATCCAGTTCTGCGCTTTTCGAAGTGGGATTCTTGGGCCACCCCAGGAGTTCATGGTGTTGGGGCTACAGATGACGCTTCAGGAGAAACCTGTGACGTTGCTCTGAAATGTCCGTTTCACCTGCAGATTTGGGGAAAGTGCTTGTCATGTGAATCCCAAATAGTATATAATACAGAGTAGAATGCAAAGCACGGAGGAGTTTTAGAGGCGAAACTGGAGTTCAGCTAAGCCTCGTGTTTGTGGCTGGTGGCTGTGGCGTAGCGTCACCTTCCTCCGCAGTGGGGGGTCTCGGGAGAGGTGTTTCCTCAGGGTCCTGATCATCAGCTGGAGGCCAGAGCTTGGGAGGAGCTAGGCTGGCACAGGACACCTCCCTCATTTGGCAAGAGTGCTGGACACCCCGAGGGGACATCTTCCAGCCCTTGATTGTTAAAGGACTCCTGGCTGGAGCCTGTTTGTCTGGGTTGAAGCCTGGTCCTCCCCTAGGGTTGGCTGTTGGTAGATAGTCGGGTACAGGTGATGTGCTGACTGCGGCAGGAAGTATGGGGTGCTGTCAGGTGAGACCAGGCATGGCTGACGTCACGCAGGGGCAGTACTGTATCGTGGGTGCTCACGTCTGTGGCCCTGGGGAGCCTTGCTGCCTGAATGTGTGTGTGACCTGTCCCGGGACAGGTGCCGCCTTTAGTAGGTGGAAAGTACATCTGTCGCTGGAGGAGACCTTGGCGGGGGACGTGCGAGGGCAGTCGCATTGCAGTTTGGGTTCACTTCATCTGGTTTCCTCTTCTGTCCTCTGCTGTCTGCCTAGGGTTACATGGGAAAACAGGAGAATTCCAGGTCAGGTACAGAGGGAGCTGCTGCAAATTTAATGAACTGATTGCTCATCGCTGCCTCAGAAGGCCCAGCTTCCTGCCCAGCAGCCAGGCACTGCCTGGCAGACTCCCGGAGTTCTTGGTGGAGCTGGGAGGGGGGCTGTGAGAGAGGAGGGAGACGATTGTGCGGACCCCTCGGTGGGATGCTGTCGGGAGGGGTGAGCGAGGCTCCACATCTGGGGCATCAGAGAAACCGCTTTCCGGAGTAGGAGAGGATGCACCCTCCCCGCTGCAGATCCTTGGTATTTCAGGGTGGGTGGGCTGGGCTATAGAGCTGTCCTGTGTGCAGGAGAGAAAACAGGCCTGGAAAGGTGAAAAGAACATACCCAAAGTCACTGGGCTGGTGGGTCAGTCACAGCTGGAATTGTGATCCAGGTCGACGTGGTCCTGATTTCTTTTCCAAGAGGGGCAGCCCTGTCCCAACCCAGATCTAGAGGACTTCTCTCGTGGCCTGCCCTGGGCACGGTGCCGCCTGCCCTGGCCTGAGCCCTCGAGAGATATTCTCTTTTTCATGCTACGCACCTTGTGGGATGGGTTTTGGGACAGCTGGGGTTCAGAGGGCGGGCTTCTCCAACCCCAGAACAGAGAGAGGGCGGGATGTCCATGCTGCCTTGCTGAGCCCCGAGAATAAGCCAGCTCTGGGGTCCGGCCGCACCCTGGCCGTGAGGTCTGGGCAAGCCGCTTTGCCTGTCTGAGGCTGCGTCCTCACCTGTTCATGGAGTCGTTGTGTTGGCCTTGCTTGTCTCTGGTAGCAGTGGGGAGACGTCTGGGTGCTGTGAGCAGAGCCAGGTGCTGGGGTCGGAAGGGGTCTCTGCTTTCACGAGCCGCCGTCTCCCTAGGTGGCCTGCCCGCAGGCTCTGTCCCTTCCTCCCTGCTGATTCCTGCCCGTGTCTCTTGCTTTCAAGCTTGCGCCATCTCCGGCCTCTTCAACTGCATCACCATCCACCCTCTGAACATTGCGGCCGGCGTGTGGATGATGTGAGTAGCCGTGTGACCGTCCTGCCGGGGGGTGTTGGGGCGTGTGGGTTTCTGGGCACCTCCCAGGTGGAACACGAGTGAGTTGAATTGGGTGGACTGGTCCGTGAGGGTTACTGGGCACCAGTGCTGTGTGGGAGACCTGGGGTGGCGTTAGTTGTGTGAGTTCCTGCTCTGGGCCTCAGGGGGTTCTTGGGGGCCAACGGGGATAGCGAGCGTGCTTTCCCTCCACGGTGGGGGCGGATGGAAGGGCCCGGACCGCTGTGAGGGCCCAGTGTCTGATCACGGTGACTGTGACCTGGACACGGAGAACCCAAAGGCGGGAGCAGACACCCCTGGCGTGCCACCTGGGGCTCAGCTGTCCCCAGCGCAGACCCGCGCTGCACTCAGGGCTCGCCGAGTTCCCTCCTCCAGCGAGGGCATCCCGAGGGCGGGCCGTGGCGGTGGACTGGCTGCCCTGCTCCGGCTCCTCCCGGAGCCCAGAGCGTGGGGTGCAGCCGGGAGCAGGCGGGGGGGCCCTGAGGCGGGCGGGGGACGCGCCGGCCTGGGCGCCAGCCTGCTCCTCTCTCTGCAGCATGAACGCGTTCGTCCTGCTGCTGTGCGAGGCGCCCTTCTGCTGCCAGTTCATCGAGTTTGCGAACGCGGTGGCGGCGAAGGTGGACCGGCTGCGCTCCTGGCAGAAGGCCGTCTTCTACTGCGGGTGAGGGGCCGCGGGCCGGGCCTGACTCGGCTCCCCAGACCCTGCTTCTGCAGGTGACAGTGTTGGCCGGGCTGGGCGGACGGCTGCTTAGTTTACTCTCGGTAGAGGTTTAAACAGGGATGGCGTTTGTGCAGAGTCACATGAGGGACCCGCTATACGATGGGACCCAGCGTCCAGGGCTCTGCATCTGGCCTACAGGTCCAGCCGCACAGTATTCAGACGTGAGACGCGTACACCTCGCAGCAGTACGTGTAACAGAGAATG